ATATGCATCTAAAAAACTTAATAGCTCATGACCTGCAGTTGCATCAATCAATTGATCTATGTGGGGTAGTGGAAAAGAATCTTTAGGGCAGGCTTTATTAAGATTTGTGTAATCTACACAAACCCACCACTTACCGTTCTTCTTTGGAACTACAACAGTATTAGCTAACCAGTTAGGATACTTCACCTCATGATGTAACCAATTTTTAGCAATTTCTGGACTTCTTCTTGAATCACCTGATTCTTGAAAGTTCCTTGCTTTCTTTTCTTTTGCTTGACATGAGGGTATGCTGGGTCTTCATTTAATTTGTGAGTCATCACCTCCGGTGGTATCTCTGTCATGTTAGAGTGGGACCAAGCAAAGTAGTCCACGTTAGTTTTCAAAAATTCAATTAACTTACCTCTCATGCCTTGGCTAAGATTGGCCCCAACGTAGACTTTCTTATCAGGCCATTGAGAAAATAACACAATAGGCTCTAATTCCTCTATTGTTGTTTTGATATTTTCGTTCTCTTCTGGTTCTTGAATGGTATCAGGCCTTGAATCTACATCTGTTTGCCCCTGTTCAGTTGAGGTTTGTGTTGTGGTGTCCTCAACTGCCTTCTGTGATTGCTATTTTTCTTCATTTCTCGTGCTTGTATCTACAACGGAGTTGATAGTCCTAGATGTATGTTGATCTCCACGAATTTGACAAATTCCCCATGGCGACGGAAATTTGATAACTTGATGCAAGGTTGAAGGAACTTCATCCATCTCGTGGATCCATGGTCTCCCAAGGATCATGTTGTAAGCTATCTCCATATCTACTACCTAGAACTTTGTATCTTTGTCGACTCCTTCAGTGAATGTGGTGAGTGTTACTTCTCCTTTCGTCACAACACTAGAATTATCAAATCCAAATAGAGTATGCGCCTTTGGTATTACTTTATCTTCAGCTTTCATCTTACGTAGTACTCTTAGTAAAATAATGTTCACGGAACTACCTGAATCAATCAAGACTCGTTTTACATTAGCATCATATACAATTAGAGATATTACCAGTGCATTGTTATGAGGGGTTAATATGCCATCTACGTCCGCATCATTGAATGTAATGTTGTCTTCCTCTAAGATATTCCACACCCGTTTCTTTTGGGTAATTGTAACTTTGGAAATTTTGTTCGCTGCAGTATATGATATACCATTGATGTCTTCACCCCCACTTATAACGTTGACAGTTCTTTTGGGGGAAGGTGGTTTTGGAGGTTCCTACCTGTTCTTCATGTAAGCTTGCTTACCTTTCTCATTGAACAACTCAGTAAGATATCCTTGTTTCAATAAATGATCAACTTCACTTTGTAAAAATCTGCAGTCTACTGTTTTATGCCCGTGATCATTATGAAACTCGCACCAATGATCAGGGTTGCACCTGTTTGGATTTGATCTCATTTCTTTTGGCCATCGAACCTTATCACCCATGCTTCTCAAAACAACTACGAGCTCGGAGGTGCTGACGTTAAAATTGTAACCACCGAATCTTGCTTTTAAGTTTTTATCATCATCTCGTGATTCATAGTGGTTTCGATCATTCCTAAATCTTGATGAAGAACCTGATTCTCTATTCCTTGATCTGTGATCATACCTTTGATTGTCCTGCTTTGACCGTGAGTCTTTTCCCGCAGGTCCCATATACGGCTCGTACCTGTTTTTACCAGATCTTTTTTCGGTCTCCGCACATCTAGAACTTACATTTTCTTCTTTTTGAAATCGCGGAACGGTATCTTCTTCAATCCTTAGCTTCGTGTTATACCTGTTATAAACATCATTCCACGTTGTAGCTGGGAATTCACGAAGGCTTTCCTTGAGTCTCCTCGTAGCTTCCGAGCTTTTCTCATTCAAGTTGCCTGTGAAAGCTATAGCTGCCCAATTATCAGGTACACGAGGTAAGGTCATTCTTTCACGTTGGAACCTGTCCACGAATTCTCTATGCAATTTCGAGTCCCCTTGCTTGATCTTGAAATATCTTCCATTCTTTTTTCGTCTTTGGAGCTCCCGAGTGTGCTTTAATGAAAGAATCTGCAAGCTCAGCAAAAGAGTTTATAGAATTTTCGAGTAAAAGAGAATACCATATTAATGCACCTTTGGTGAGTGTTTCACCGAATGTTTTGACTAATACTTATTCAATCTCCTGCTTAGTCAAATCGTTGCCCTTTACGCCTGTTGTGAATGCAGTCACTTGATCTCGTGGGTCTATTGTTCCATCGTATTTTGGAATATCAAGCATTTTGAATTTCTTTGGAATTGGAAGGGGAGCAACATTTGGCTTCCAAGGTTGTTGAGAATATTTATCCATATCTACCTCTTTGATTACGGGCGATACCCCGAGTATTTGCTCTATGCGGTCACTTTGCTCCTTGAGCTGTTTCTGCAATGTTAGTACTAAATTTTGCAAATCTGAATTAACTAAATTACCTGGTTCTCCCTCTTGCGATTCACTGGGGGTTCCACCGCTACCTGAATTAACAAGCCCGGAACGAGGGTTCACCAGAGTGTTGTTATTTGGAGTAGGTGTGGGTGGTCCAGCAGGTAACTTGCTAACCAAGGCCTGAACGACTTTATTGACCTGTGCGGTAATAAGTTTTTGCAAAGCCTCATCCATAGCTTCAACATTTTCGAATTGAGCCTGTCCATCTGTATGAGATCCATCAGGAGTGCCTTCACGAGATCGCCGAGGAGAGCCTCGTGGAGAAATAATCAGTGCGTTATTATCCTCAGGGTCTCTCTGAAGTTGTTGGTTTGTTTGGTTTTCTTCGTTTCCTTGAATGTTGTCATTGTTGTTCGACATAGTTGATGCAACAAGGAAAGTTAAGCGAAAAGAAAATACATTATCAGATTCCCGGTAACGGAATCAATTTGTTTAACTAAAAAATGGAATTTTAGTCAAAGCTAGAATTTAGAAGAACACGGGTTACTGATAATTGAAAGAATATGTAAAAGAGAGTAATTTGGATAACAAGAATATAATCAGGAGAAAAATAAGTAAACCAAAGTATATTCCAATTGTGTTTTGTGTCCCTACAATTGATCAATTATCTCCCTTTTATAACTATTTGGGAGATATGCGTTTTGCCCTTGTCTTAATAAGGTTATTATGAGTAATTAAAGACATTGAATGCTACGTTAAACAATCATTGTATTTAATACAAATTCTCTAACGTATTTAGTACTTAATGCTCATTAAATACTGTATTTGTACTCCCATATATTGTCAGATTCATTCCCCTTGATTCCCTTACCTAAATGACTTAAATAGATACGGGTGCCGAGTCTTTTGACTATCTGCCCATGTCTCTTCCTTTGCCTTTGCTCATATCTGTTGCAACTCACGTCTCTTTGCCAGTTGTAACTCTGTGACTAGTCTACGTGTTTTGACATGTCATCTTTATTCCACTTTAATATGTAAATTCAATTTTTCCCAATTCACAGTAACCAACAAATTGTCGAGATAACGAGTGCCCATCATGAAGACTCTCAGGACATATTCAGGTGTTTGATATGCAAATGAATCAACCTCAACTCTATTTTCAGAACCTAACTTCAGCTCCCTGCTTTCCAGCATCTCTGCCCCATCTAGCAATCTCAGAGCTTACTACGTACAATGGTATTCGTACTTGAATTAATACGAGTGATTTCCTTGATGCATGATTCATCTTGTTTCTTTTGACACTCAGTTTCCATTTCACGAACTGTGTCAGAGTAAATACATGATTCGTCTTGTTTCTTTTGACACTTAGTTTCCATTTCACGAACTGTGTCAAAGTAAATTTTGGTAACTGCCTTCCCACCTGTACATGAGAATATAGCTTACAACAACAACAACAACAACAACATAGCTAGTGTGAACCCATAACTGAGGTCTAGGGAGGGTGGAGCATACACAAACCTTAACCCTATCTTTGTAGGGTAGAGAGATTGTTTCTAATAGAAACTCGACTCAAGAAAAATATTTTTCAAAGCATATTTGAAACATACAAGAGAAAAAAACTATAATAAAAATGGGGCTCGAAGAGACTCGAACACTCGGTGCAAATAAAAAAAAATGATAAAAATAATGTAGAAAATAAGTAATGACAGCAAAAAAACATGAGAATATAGCTTACAGGACTTTGATTCAACATTATTCTCTGTTTCTCCAGAATCTCACCCTGAGTTTTATGTAACCAATTCATTAGATGATGACACGTTTTCATTTTTCCCAATATCATTTTAGAGTTTGCTATTTACTTTAATTTCAAGTGCATCCAATTGAAAATATCCTCTTGCAAAAATGCAGGATAAGGCTGCGTACGATAGACCTTTGTAGTCCGGCCCTTCCCCGGATCTCGCGTATAGCGAGAGCTTAGTGCACCGGACTTTCCTTTTCTTTTTCAAGTGCATGCAATTATCTGATCAATTGAGTTGCTAACACAACCCATGGTGGCTGTAATTGCATATTCATGCTCAAGATCTTTAATGACACACCTAGCAATTATCTTTTTTTTGAAATATCTATAATTCGAATCCAAGTTAAATCTACAAATAAACACTATTTACCACATACCGATGTTCAAGTCAGTTTGGGCGCCTAGATTATTCCACGGCATACCTGCTACCTTTTTGTTAATACATACTCCATTTTGTCTCATTTTACCCTTATCTATTTATTAGGAAGTAAAGAATTCTTTGCTTATAAAATTTTCAAATATTTTCTATTTAATTATAAAACTTGTACTGAGACTAGTTCCTTTTTTTGTGTGTGTGTGGGTGGAGGAGCATGAGCTATTTTCAATTATGAATTATACATGAAGTAAAAAAGCTAATAATCCTTATAATGATTCTTAAGAGGGAAAAAGGAGGAAGATAAGTTGTTACAGGTGGGTGATTTGGGAAAATAATTTGCCCACAACATTTTTCACATCAGTCCACATTAATCTATATCTATTTCATTATAAACATATAGTGCATGCACATTTTTCTACGATTTGGGGAGGGAGANACTACACTGTAATAATAGGTAGTATTATACACCTTCTTCACCGGATCCGGTGTGTATCCTTTCAACGTTTCTTTACCGGAATTAATGAAGTCCCAAATTCCCATTTTTTCCCTTGCTGCTTCCCTCGAAAAGTAGGGAAGATTAGAAAATGGTACTATTGCACTGACTTTTGTTCTTTTAGTGGGCCCTTTTAGTCATTTTCGCTAATAAAGGTAAAAATAGTCGGGCTAGCCAGTTTTCGGACTGATCATTCAAAAATAACTAGCGTTTGTAAAGTTATTAAAAAATAGTCATTATTTTGCTGCAATACAGAAAATTCCAACATAATATACTGGAGATCGGTATACCTGTGTATCAACTTCCAATATATTATATTGGAACTCCAACACGCGGAAAGTTCCAGCTAGGGGCGTTCAGAAAAACCAGAAAAACCGAACCAAACCGACCTAAAAAACCAATACTTTTTAGGTTTGGTTTGGTTTTGATTTTAAATTTTAAAAACCTATCAAAATTAGTTTGGTTTGGTTTTAATAAAAAAATAACCGAACCAAACCGACTATATATATATATATAAAGTTTCTAAAATTTTATGGTACATATTAGTCATTTATATTTTTAGTCTAGTTCTTTGCTATTATAATTATCTAATTCTTTGCATTTACATTCTAGTTTGATTGGTAGTTTTCTTTTGCTAAGTACAAGAATTTATTTCATGTTAAAAATACTCGATTTTTAATTGAGTACTTAAATTATTCATCACTATTTTATTTTATTACCATCAATATATATGGGTAAATAACAGATTTCTCAAAAAGCAATTGATTTGAGAGTGTTACGTTGAAAATGTAGTCGCCGGAATATGCGTTTGGTAGTGCATGTCTCATATTTAAGAAAACATCCGATAAATAACCGAAAAAACTGAAAAACCAACAAAAAACGAATCGATAAAAAACCGACTTAATTGGTTTGTTTTTTTTGGGAAAACCCGATCTAAACCGAACCATGAACACCCCTAGTTCCAGCATAATATACTGGAGATTAGAGCACATGTGTATGAACTTCCAACATATTATGCCGGATCAGTATATTATACTGGAGTATTTTTTGGATTTTGAACAATATTTCTGTTCACATTTACCTTTACATCAAAAGTGGCTAAATTTCGATTACTTTTGAAACTGTGACTATTTTTAAATGATCTCTTATAAATCTGGCTATTTTTGAATTTCTCCCTAATAAAGGCTAAAAGGGCCCACTAAAAGAACAACCGTTGGCTCTCTTTTTTGTCACTGTCTCCTGGCACAATATTCTTGGATAATTGCATGGTAGTATCTCGGTTATCAGTTATTACTTCATCCGTTTCAATTTAGATAAGCAAACTTGACTCGGCACATATTTAAAAAAATATCTTTTAAAACTTGTGGTTTTAAAAATTTAAGGGATAAAAATTTTGTGGGGTCATGACATTTGTGTGGTTATAAAATCTTCTCATTAAGGATAAAATGGGTAAAATGAAAAGTTTATAGTTAAATTATTTTCAAATTTAGAAATGTGTCATTTATTTTGGAATATACTAAAAAGGAAAGTGTCTCATCTAATTTGAAACGGAGGGAATACTACTCCACTAGTTTCTACCATCGTGCATGCACGTTAATAATTGCACATAAGAGTTTAATTAATTATTTATATAAGGTATAATAAATTTAATTAAAAAAAATTATGCATATAGAAGAAGAAACAATATTGTAAAGTTGTTTACCTTTAAAAATGAATAACAATTGAATTAATACGCGATTTTAGTGATACATAGATTAATTTGATACAAGTGATTAATGATGTTAGATAAGCAATTAAAAGATAGAATAAATAACCAAACCAACGATGATACTGAACCCGGGCTCGGTTAAAAGCTTAACAAGAAGCTCGCCTTCGGTTCTAGACCGGTGCTTATAGAGGAATTATGAACTAAAACAAGAACTTTCAAATAACTAGAGAAAAGTGGATTTATATTGCCTTGGTATGCGTGTTACAATATCTCTAATGAATAGTCAGCTTCCCTTTATATAGTAGGGGAGTTTTACCCTAAGTACAATTCTAAAAAGGTAAAAATCTTTCTTCTCGCTAATCACTAATCTACCATTGATACGGGTCGAGGTTCACGCTGTGTCATCCGGTTGGGAACGGATATCACGGTCCTTTATTGATCGTGTGCGGTCGTTTGGCAATGATTTTCGAGGTCACGTTATTCAAATCAGTTCCGGAGGCGTGATCTCAATGGCTCCAAAGGCATTACCTCACTGGCTCCGGGAGCAGGTATTTTTCTCGAGCTTTGATACAGGCGGCTCCCGGCTTCGGTCTTGACTAAGCACAGTTATGTCCTCTCTTCATTCGTCCCACCGGGAAATTGGGGCGCTTCTTACCTCCGGTTTTACCCGTATACAGATAGTCCCCGTATTTCTATAGATGGCAAGTTTGCCTAAACGATGAGAAACGACAGATGTTCCCCGGTTCCTTCTTTTGTACATCATAATAGAAAACGAACAAGAATCCAAAAAGTCCTATCACTCATGTCGTTCTGACTTCGAGCATGTGTCAACCATCGATTGGTTACCTCCGAATACGAAGCGTCGCGGACTTTTTTCTATATAAGGTTTTACCCCTTGTTCTTTTTTCACTTTTCGACTAATCTTCTACCTTCGATTTCTCAAGCCATCACCAGCGTTCTTCAACTTTTATATCTTCTCCCTTATTTTTCAAGATTTCACAGCAATGTCTAGGTTTTTACCTAGATTTTCCCCAAATCACTATAATCAATTCTTTATCTTTCAAAATCTTCTCTTGAGTTTTTCAAACTTCTTCAACAATAGCTAAAACATCTAAATCTGTTCCTCAACAAGTTGTCATTTCATCTTCTCAACTGGTCGCTGGTACCAATGTGGTTGCTCCTGAAGTAGTTTCCCTCGAAATGGCTTCTCCCGAGGTTGCTGCCGACAAACCGGCTCCCGAGCCTCCCTTGAAAATATTTATTCCCAGGGACCGCTCAATTGCAGATGACTTTAAGGTCGAGAAACCCTCACGCAAACAGGACCGGGGTGAAGGATTGTCAAGGTACATTTGCTCTGTGATCGAGGATGTCCTCCCATGGTCCGAAAGGACTACAATTGGGAGTGAAGGATGTAGCATTCCCAGGGCCCGAGGGCGCCATTACTACCCACATGGAAGGGTACTTTAGTGTTTATACTTACCCCTTCATATTGGGTCCGGTAGAACCGGTTGTTCTGAAATTTTGCAAGAGGTACGAGGAGCGCCTCGGAAAAATCTATCCATCTTTATAGAGGATCGTTATCCTCCTTCGTTACTTCGAATAAGACCACATCTCGTTGGTTCACTATTGATCATCTGCTCCTTTATACAATCCCTGAATCTTTCGAGGGGGACTAATAAAGCTTACACGCCGGGCCAACAAGGCCCCATTTATGAGCATTGATGAAGACCGAGATCGGGGCTGGTAGGGATGCTTTGTTCGGGTGAAGATCGAAGACTTGATTCCCCAGAGCTCATGCCATTCCCTGAGAAGTGGAATGCATCTCATTACAATCTCTCCTTAAGCGTTAATCTTTTATTTATGTCCTTTCTTCTCATTCGCATATGCAGTAATGCAGCCGTTTCCCGAGTTCCAAACGCTATCCCTCGGTTCAAGGAGTGGATTGAGGGTATTATACAGATGTCATATTCGGAGCACGCATGTCGCAAGCTCTCAAAGGGCCGATTGGAGGCCCATTCTCAAAGTAAGGCCTTTCCTCGAATAGGTAATATCAGGCTTTCCTACTTACATCATACTTACTCTTCTTTTCTCTCTTTTCTTTTTATAGGTTTGCCTAAGAACACTGAACTGAGGACAAGGACGTGTCCTTGTTTGTTGATCCCTCCATTTTGGGACATCTCGAGGCTGTAGCGAGGGAAAAGAAAAAGATGAAGAGGAAAGCTTTGGGCTCCCCGAGTTTCACAGTGAAGCCAAATAGAAGATTGGCTCATAAGACAAAGAAGGGCTCCAGTTCCCGAGCACCGGGCTCGAATTTGCTTCTTCGGCTTGGGGATGAGTCCGAAGAAAATATTTTTGTGGCCCACAGGTCGAGCCCTCCCGAGGAGCAGGTGGCAGCTGAGGGGAAGATTCGGGAGGCCAATCTCCCTCAAACTCAGGAGATTAATGTGGAGATAAGGGCTAAGACACTCCACACCGCCGCCTCTACCCCGAAGGAAGTACCTATTATAATAGATATTTTAGGGTCGCCCTCCTACACTGAATCCATGCTTGAGGAGGCTCGAGCAAGAAATGAGAGGTCCAATGAAGGGGTTCATGGTGCAGACGAACCTCATTGTTCCTTTTAGATGGTGTGGACTCGTCCGTTTTGGAAGATTTTTTTGGGTTGGGCGACCTGGAAGTTCCGAGGAAGGATCCCTCTCCGGAAGATGGAGGGCCGAGTTCGAGCCCAAAATTGATCATTCAGTTCCCCACCCTGAGTGTGAATCTCAGCTACAAAAGATCGATTATTCTTACCATCCCAGAGGATGCCCGAGTTCTTTCTGCTCCCATGCGAGTAGCAAGCTACCTTCGATTCTTGGTGACCAAGGAGGACCGGGCAAAAGTGAATGAGGTCAACATGCCGTGCCTTTTCAACGAGGCGTAGCCGATGCTGAACCGGGTAAGGCATCATTATGTTCCTTTGAACTTTTCTTAGGGTTTGATTTTTGTCACATCTTTTACCTTTTTGCAGGCCTCGGTACTTCATCATGAGATCTTCCTCTGGCACCGGGTCGAGTTCAATCAGCTCGAGCTCGATGTCAAGGAGCTAGCCTAGAAAAGGGATACGTACAAGTTCCTCAGCGAGCAATAAGAAAGGGTCATTAAGTACCTTCAGGACAAGCTTGATAGGGCTCACAAAGATGCATCAGTCCTACATCGGGAGCAACCGACTTGGTCAAAAAGGTAATGTCGCGACCCAAAATCCAACTATTCGTGATGTCACCTAATCTCACCCGCTAGGTAAGCCAAATAACAGCAATCCAATTCAATTAATATTTAACTGACTCTAATATACTCCCC